TTGTAGCAACGTTTCAGCAGAATCTCATCTGCCATCATCAGGCTTCTGTATTATATATATATATATCTCAATATGAATATTTGACCCAAATTAAAGAATGTTTTTGATAAACTTTGGCAAATGTAATGAAAATAGAGATAGTGATACAGGGCTCCAGTTACACAATTTTCTCCCTCTTAGTTCTCAATGAATCAGTAATGCACAAAAAGTCCACAAACCGGTAAATCTCCTTGGGTTACAAGATGCTGTATTCAATTTTGCACCCTGTAGAAGCAGGGTCAGCTTCTGCTCAATTAGAGAATCACTGAAACATACAATTCATCTAGGGATGCAATAAATTTTCCTTAATTGGTACTGCCTTGTATCATATTGCCATTAGAAGTAGAGCTTTGTCCATCCTACCCCACAGCCCCCCATATAGAACAGTGTTAAAGAACATAGAACAGTGTTAAAGAACGACATTTACATAGTTAATAAATACACCATTTTCAGTGCAAATATGAGACTAGTTATAACCAAATGAAAATGTTTTCCTTAACAGAAGAAAACAAATCATTCTTACGTGCTGAAATTTCAAAACTCTCAAATTTGATGGGTTGAATGTAATTCACCAGACTGGACATTTCTTCATAGGCTGTCACTTCCAGACCTGCAGTTCCCTAAACAGAATTTGGAGTGTTACAGAACAAACTCCAGTGATGTGCAAAATAAGCATCAGAAAGTTACTAAATAGAACTCAGAAGAAGAATAAAGGGCAACCAGTGAATATAATATACCCTACAGTCTTTCAGAATAGGATCTCCAATTAACTGGGAAAGCACAGATTTACATATCCTTAGTCCAGTCTTCTGGAAGTTGTAGTTGCAAACCTACCTGGAAAGTCATCAGGTTAGACAAAGCTGTTCTTGTAAAATTAGGACTAGAATATTCAAAAGAGAGATAAGCATAGGCCGATTCATGATTCTGCCTCTAGACTCGAGAGCCGTGATGACTCTAGAGCCAGAAGTGGCACACAGAGCCATTTCTGCTGGCACGTGAGCTACCACCTGGAACAGATCCATTGTGCATGCACGCGCCCCCCTGCCAGCCAGTTGGTTGTTGGGTATCTGCCTCTCATGCGCAAGGGGAGATGTGTGTGCATGCGCGGGGTGCGTGGCACATGTGGGGAGTTGCATGTGCATGCGCAGAGGTGTGCAGCACGTGGGGGGGTCATGCTTGCATGCACAAAGGGTGGGGAGGTCACGTGTGCATTGCATTATGGGTGCAGGCATACGCGCACACACACACACACACACTGTTTCGGCACGCAATGACGAAAAGGTTAGCCATCACTTCTCTAGAGAGTTAATTGATTTTCTCTTGCCTTTTCCTAGCTAATTGGGCCAGGAGAGCTGATTGGTATTACTGACACACCAGAGAGGGCAGAGTTTAGCAGCTGTGTGGTAAAACAACTGAGCTAAAGACAATACAAACTTTACAGGCTTCCACAGCTGGGTACCCCATGGCTCTGTCAGAGTTATGCCTTCGAGACTTTCAAGGAACTTCATTTATTAATTAAAATATTTAGCCTACATTGTCATTATTAAAATAATCCCCAAAGTCTCGCTCTGTCAGAATTCAGGAGGAGACACAAAATATTTGAAGGGCTAATCTGTTATGATGGGGCAGATGGCTCCAAGGGACACATCTGAACCATTTCAACCCTGCAATGTGAACTATTCTGTTACATTACTTGAGAGAATCATACAAAGTATGAAGGTGGAAATTAATAACACCATCAACTTTTAGTAAGAAAAGCTGACCAAGATAAAATAATCTGTGCAAAGTATACCAATACTGCAGTTATGATATATGATAAAGTATCCCAATACATGTAATTGTGAGTCTAGTGAAAAGAAGGATCATGCTTTGCTCGCACAAGCAAAGGGGTGACATGGTAGTGGTGCTCCAATGTTCGAGGCGCTGCCACACAGAAGAGGGGGTCAACCTATTTTCCAAAGCATCAGAAGGCAAGACAAGAAACAATGTATAAGTCTTGGAATAATTACCATATACTTAGGCTAGATACACAAAATCATAAATCATACCTCATCGGACTGTAGCTTTTTAATCTCTTCCTCGTTTAGGTTTTCCAGATTTCTCTCCGTTTCAGGAACTTTTTCACCCTCCTCAACTGGCTTGACTGACAATTTGAGAGAAAAATTCAGTATGCTTTTGAAAGTTCTTGTCTAATTTAATTCCTCCAGACTGACATTTTCTGCTTTTCTCCATCCAACTATCTATTCTGGAGCTCCAGAAGCTCACTCACCCAGGCACACTGTTGACTAGTGTGAACTACAACATACTAATAGTCAATGGAGGCAAGTCATAAAAATGTTAACTCAAAGCAAATTAAGAAGTTTGGATCATATAGACCACTGTAGCTCCTTTATCTTATAGGGATCTATAATATATAAAAATAATTTACATAGGGTGTGCGGGGGGGGACATGAATTCAGATTTTATTTCTTTTGCAACAAATGCAAAAGTAGATGTTGTTCTTTGAATGACTTTGGGACAGTCACTATCTCCCAGTCCAACTTACCCAGCAAAATTATTATTGTGGGGGGAAATGAGAAGAAAGTGTTAACTATTCTGTCCTTTGATTCAATTGCTGAATATAAAGACAGATAGATAACTCAACAAATTCTTCTATACAAAGTTTCTTTTATTGGATTATATTAGGTATCCTCAAGATAACAGTTATGTTAAGATGCATCTAATGTCCAATTCTTTGTATAATTGAAATCATAGTGTAAAATGATAGTAATCTTTTCATCCCATATTTCATCCCATAGTAGTGGAGCCAAAGGAGAGATGCTAGCACGATGCTGGGGTCCAAGCAAGAGTGAAGAAACCTCCCCCAACCCATCAATTCAGTGACCAATCAGGATTACAGATGTGGCCACATGACATGAACTACATTTCCCAGGATACCTTAACTACATTTCCCATGATGCATTCCCTTAAGGGGACAGCTCCCAATTACTAACTAACTATACCAATTCCCATTAACTATAACTGGCTGGGCAGCACATTAACTACACTTTGAAGCCTCACATCATCTTTACATAATTATATCATTAGTCTTCCATTTTGTTAAAAGAGAAGCAGACTGTTATGCAGCTCTGTTCTCTTTTATACATGTTCTTTAAGACCTCCATAACACCTATGTTTTTATACAACCATGATGCTGTTTATGTGGCTTCTTAGATAATCCTGAATCACCACAGGTAGTCCTTTGCTTACAATTGAGCTCAAGATTTCCATTGCTAAGCAAGGCAATTGTGAAGTGAGTTTGTCCCATTTTCCAATCTTTTTCGCCACAATAATTTGCAGTTGTTAATCAAATTATGTGGTCATTAAGTGAATCTGGCTTCCGCCATTAACTTTGCTTGTCTGAAGCCAGCTGAATCAGTTACAACTGGTGGTCACATTACCCTGGGACAATGCTACTGTCATAAATACATTGCAGTTGCCAAGTGCTTGAACTTTGACCATGTAACCATGGAGATGCTGCAATGGTCGTAAGTGTGAAAAATGGTTATAAGACATTTTTTTCAATGCTATTATAACTTCAAATTAATGAATAGTTATTAGTTATTAATGAATAGTTATTCATTAAACAAATAGTTATAAGTCAAGGACAACCTGTATTCCAGGATTAAAAAATACCCCAAAGGCTAGCCTTATTTCTTGAATGTGTTCAGTTGTTTGGGGATGACTGTTAGGAATGTAAGTCACCTAACAGTTATTTGGGTTGGAAATATATAAACTGGGATAGACATTTTAATATTATGTCTTTAAAAGAATGCTAAACTGTAATTGGGTATGGTTCCGCAAATGGCCATAAGATGGAGCCAGAAACTTGGGTTGTTTAGTCTCAGAAGTGAGCGAGTCTCTGTTTCCTTCTGTTGGAGAATTTTATCATTCCTCCTAAATGACTGTTACTGATCGTTGATGTAAGTCTGTTACTGAACTGTTTTTGATACTGGACTTTGATATTTAGATTATCCCTGAAGTGAACGCTTTACCTGTGAATGACTTGGACTGCTTATCTTGGACTGTGCTTAAACGTTTATTGGAAGTAAAAAACCTACATTTACTGTACAGTGTATCTGTGTGCTGTTTGTGTATCATTCTTCACCACTCTCACTATGTCTCCCTGTATGCGCTCATTCTCCTAACGGGGAATTACCTCAACAATGACCATTCTCACAATTCCTGGACAAGTATTTCCCCATGGTGTTTTGAAATTCTGGAAATTATAGTACTAACACATCTGGAGGAAGCCAAGTTTGGAAAGGCTGCTGTATGATATGATACCTGTGCTATCCTTTTCTGTAGGTATGGGTTGGTCTGTGACTTCATCCTCCAAACTCTTCCTCTTCTTCAGGGCATCTTGGTTCTCCCCAGGCATAAATTGGTTCTTCTTATTCTTAATCAAGATCTTCCCCATGAGATCCTGAGGACTTGGCAATGGCACCCCTGGTTTTAGCTACCAAAGAAAGAAGTGGACCAAGTTAACATTCATATGATCCTCACATTAACACAGAATACAGATGGTCAGAACAAGTGTATCCAATGACTACTTAACTATTTAATTTTCTTATTCACTTACTGGATATTTTTCCAAGGGTTCAGTCAACAACATGTCCCCAAAGATGGTTCTACAGTACTCAGCCATCTTTGCCTGCTGCTTAGGCCTAAAAGAAAGTACAAGAAAGGAATAAATTAAGAAAAAGCTGGGTTTAGCATCATCCATGCTTAACCTGTTTTACTCTCTCTTTATATTCTAGCATGTGCAAAACTTATCTAAATTTACTACCACAGAAATGTTTTGGGTTTTTTTTTTTCTAAACTTTGGTCTGCATCTCTTCTCTACCACATCCCATGCTTGCTATTGCATGGCAATTGTTTTAAAAATATCCTTGAAATTATTTAAAGTTCATTTAAGATTTTTTTCTCTGTTTCTTAATTATTAAATAATTTAACTATCACACTGCTGGGTTCCAAATTTGTTCAGATGGAATACACTTCCCAGGTCCATTTTAATAGGTCCATTTTCTAGGAAATCTATGAATAATTGTGTCAAGCCACACAAGTGTATTGACATAAGTGTAGCCATTTTAGTTATTCTTAGTATATATTCTTTTTCTTACTTTCTTTGTGGCAGTCATGGGGGAAGGGTTTCGGGCTTGCCACATTCCTAAGGAGGCGGGGAGGAGTGGAGATAAAGAGAGTGTTTTGGCTAGGTGATCTTTCTTCCCGTGGGAAACTAGCTATCCATGCTTGGGCCCCTTGAGGTGGAGATTTATGACACCAAGCAACGTTGGATTATTTCTATTGGAGAATGTGACATTTTTTTGGGGGGGGGGGTTGTTTCTAACTTGTAATATTGTGGGGTAATTCCGGGTTGTGTCAGATCCGGAATTACCATGGACTTTGCCAATTTGATGCTTTCCTAAATAAAAGAAATCTTTTTTTGAAGATGGACTTTGTTCTTTTCTTTTTAAATGGATTTCATCACTTGGAAACCTGACAAATTGTTTCAATGTATATGGATGGGAAGATTGGATGAGAATTTCCTTTTACTTATAAGTAAGCTTTGAAAAGGAAAAAATAAGTGTCAACTTTTACCATCTCCTGATTGTGAATCCTGTTTAGCCTTTCAAGAGCTGTCTGAGCACCAAACTGAAAGAACAATTTCAGGAGAAAATCCACAGCTGGAGCAAAGATGTTTTTTGGCTGAAAACTAGCATGGCACATGCGTATACATTTTCTTTCTCATGTAATTGACTGGGATTCTGTGTGGCAATTGGTTTTTTTCTTTCTTTAAAGAATAGGCCACAGTTGATTTTGATTTGCTAAAAGGTTGCTAATAATATTGCAGCAAGAATTAATTTATCCTGACTGAATACACTCCTCCCCACTTCTAGTTTATCAAAACACACTTTCAAGCCTTTACCGCAGATCCTAATACTCACAAATCCACATGGTTCTCAAAAGACAGGATTACTGGGTAGGGAGAAATTTTAAAAGCGCTTTCCGCAATAGCCTCAAGTGCATCCTGTATGAGACAAAGAGGGAGAATGAGAGCGAGGGAGAGATCTGCTTTTCATGAATGTAACGGAGTATTTGTTTAAGTAGAAGAAACCTACATGATTCAAATGCTGATGAACATTTCTCATAATTGGTGTGCTGGGTAGTTCTGGGGAGAATTTTAGTTGAGCAATATCTGGAAAACTAGAATTTACTCATATCCGGGGGAAAGCCTTCACACATATAACTGGAACCCAAATCGGTAATATGTGCATATTTGTGTGAGAATTATCGGCACAATACTGTACAGTGATCAGTTACTTGGAAGTCTCAGAGTTTCTAATATCACGTGAACAGTCATTTATAGACTGATGCCTGATGTTAGAGGACAAGAGGCTGTGACCACAAGTGAAATGGAGAATGCCATAATATCCAGGGAAATAGTCAGTGTAATGTCTGATTGTATTGAGAATATGTTTAAACTAAAGTGTAATTATAGTATGATATTATACCCTAATTGTCCCATGGTGGCAACTGCAAAAGAAGATTTGGGGGGAAATGGCATTTTTTGATAAAGAAAAACCCCACTGGCAATTACTTTGTAATATTTTGAATTATTTTGAAATGCAAAAATATACTAAAATACAGAGATAAGCAGTTTTAAAATGAGCAATTGTGTCTGGGTCCTTTTCTAATTTTATAGACTGAAATTGCAATTAAACTCTTCTAACTTTAGCCTGATTACACCTCTGTCTAATTTAAGATGCAACCGCCATGGCAATTTACTTGCATTTTATAATGAGCTATTTCTTACTCCAAATTGAACACTACCATGAGTGAGTCCATGGTCAAATGTATTGTTAAAGTTAACAACTCTAACCCTAGTCTATAATGTACAGATTTAGTCATGGTGTAGAATTCAGAAAATGCAGCAAAGGAAAGGATGTTTGTAATAGCAATTTTTCACCCCCTGAGGTTCATCAAAAGTTATTTTCAAAAAGAAAGAATTGTGAAAATATTTAGCTGATCAGCTAAATCTATATACAATTGCCTTTTTCTTTGATAAAAAAGGAGAAAGGAAATACAGGTTGCCCAATCATAGCAAAGGTGACTGTCCTTCTCATTGGGCAGAAGAATAATCAAACTATGCTTATTTGTGGCAAGATAAATGTGCATAAAATGAATGAACATAGTTCTTAGGAAAGCAATAAAATGTGGGAGGAGAGGAATCCTTTTTTGATCATTAATACAATCTTTGCACTAGAAAGTTATTGCCTTTTGCTAATCTTGAATTTGTAAACTGTATCCTTAGGCAAAGGGGGAACCCATAACATCTCATTGTTCTTATAATAATAGGACAGGATAGAAAGCCACAATCTGGATGACAAACTGGCCCCAGGTGGGCCAAGGAGTGAGACAAAGCTAGATATTCTTTCCTTGTTCATTCAACCTGTACAGGTAGTCTTCCACTTACAACAATTCATTTAACAACAGTGCAAAGTTACAATAGCCTTGTAAAAAATGATTTACGACCTGCACTCACTTATGACCATTACATCATCCCCATAGTTACATGATTGCAGTTCAGATGCTTAGTAAGCGGCTCATATTTACAGTTGCAGTATCCTGTGGTCGCATAATTGCAATATGTGACCTTTCTGGCTGATTTTTGGCAAAGAAGGGGAAGGTGGATTTGCTTCATAACCGTGTGATTTGTTTCACAGCTGCTGTAAAAATTAGTAAAATTGGGTCTGATTTGACTTATGATCACAATGTCTCACAACAGAAATTCTGGTCCCAATTGTAGTTGTAAATCCAGGACAACCTACAGAATATGCTAATGACAACAACAGAAGAGAATATTTGTAGCTCAGGGTTGGTGCTTTCTTAGCTTGGTTATTTTCGTATAGCTGTCTCACTACCAAACTAGGTTACATTATGGGTATAAATGTCACTATGTTGAAGAATGAAATAAGATTCGTTTGGCATGATCTGTTCTTAACAAACCCGTGCTGACTGCTAGTTATTACTTTACTTGTTTCTAGATGTTGGCAGATCTGTTTTTTTATTATCTTTTCCAGTATCTTCCCAGGGGTTGATGTTAGGCTGACTGGTCTATAGTTTCCTGGGTCTGTTTTCCCCCCTTTTTTGAAGAAGGGAACCACATCAACTCTTTTCCAGTCCTCTGGTAGTTCCCTGGTGCTCCAGGATTTTTGAAAGATACGGTGCAGTGGTTCTGGAAGGACCTCTGCCAGCTCCTTTAAAACTCTAGGATGTAATCCGTCAGGCTGCAGTAATTTGTGTTCATCAAGATCAAGGTGTTCTCTTACTATTTTTTTGCTTCTTTTAACTTTTATTTCTGGTCTGTCTTTTACAGTTATGTTTTTGGTGGGTTTCTTTTTGCATGAAGACCGATGCAAAGAATGAGTTAAGCAGTTCTGCTTTCTCTCTGTTGCCTGTTACTTCCTTGCCGTCTTCTCTCTTTAGTGGACTGACTGTTTCCTTGATTTTTTTCTTGTTATTTATATGTTGGAAGAAACTTTTTTTATTACCTTTGACTTTTATTGCAAGTCTTTGTTCATTCTGAGCCTTTGCTTTCCAGAGTTCGTCTTTGCATATTCTGGCTGTCTGCTGATATTCTGCCTTAGTTGTATGTCCTTCTTTCCATTTTTTGTATTTGTCCTTTTTTCCTTTCAATTTGCCAGAGAGATCTTTGTGCAGCCATGCTGGTTTCTTCTTGGATTTCTTGTTTTTCTTTCTCAGTGGTATTGTGCTAGTCTGGGTATGTGATAGTAATGAAATTGGTTATGAAATGTCTGCAAGAAAGCAACCAAGCTGAGACAGCTACTGACAAAATGACAACATGTACAGAAACTAGGTTTAGAATGGATAAGTATACTGACATTGATAGCCTCTTCTTTTAGGATTGAATAAAAACAGTAGCATTTGTCAGGGCAGCAATAAAGTCACTGAAAAAGATATTCAGATGCTATCAGAATCATGGAGGCATTTGATATGGTCCAGCAGAACTTTTGTACATTCTTAACATTGTAATGAGGTGGGATTTGTTAAGATAGGCTTTTGAAGATCGCTTGATATGATTATGTGCCAGATCAAAATCCTATCCTGATCAGCACCAAATGGTTTATTATGAACAGTGCATAAGAAGGTCAGGAACTGAACCAGTAGAGGGATTCAAATATTTTTACTACCGTTTCTGTGGGCGTGGCTTGGTGGGCATGGCATGGCTTGTGGCTGTGGCTTGTGGGCGTGGCTTGGTAGGAATGGCAGGGGAAGGATACTGTAAAATCTCCATTTCCATCCCACCCCACTAACCTCCAGCTCCATTCTCCTGTGCAGGGCAACAAAAGAAGACCCAGCCGATCAGCTGGGACTCAGGAGGCAGAGAATACATGGGGGCGGGCCAGTCAGAGGTGGTATTTGCCGGTTCTCCAAACTACTCAAAATTTCCACTACAGGTTCTCCAAAACTGGTCAGAACCTGCTGAATACCCTGAATGCCGCTGCTCCCCAGTTATCCCAGACTGATATTAAAAAGCCTCATTTGGAAGAAGCATCATAATAACCAGCTACAGTCATTATCTTATCCTCAGTTAAATGTTTGATCTCTCTTTAAAGTCATTTTTGTCTGTCTTTATATTATCCGTCTTTCTATTTATGTTTCCCTGTCCTGTCATGTTTGACTCTTAGAGTCAAACATCACAGGACCAGCTCCTTGCCAAAACTATGGTCACAAGCAACGGTCATCCCCATCTTGAAAAAGGGAGACCCCAGCCTAGTTGAAAATTACAGATCAATCTCTTTATGCTGCATCACCTGTAAAGTCATGGAATCATTTATTAACCAATCCATCATCTTCCACTTAGAGACAAACAACCTACTGTCTAATAAACAATTTGGTTTAAGAAAAAAACTATCCTGTAATCTGCAACTCTTACACTGCAAAAACATATGGATTACACAACTCGATCAGGGCAAATAGACACAATCTACATAGACTTCTGTAAAGCCTTTGATTCAGTGGTACACGACAAACTACTCCTAAAACTAAAATCTTATGGTATCTCTGGACACCTGCATAACTGGATAGAAGCATTCCTGTCAAACAGACAACAAATGGTCAAAATTGGGAGTGTCCTATCAAATTCTGTACCTGTCAATAGTGGTGTCCCCCAAGGCAGTGTTCTAGGACCAACTCTCTTCATACTCTACATAAATGACCTCTGTGATCATATCAAGAGCAACTGCGTTCTCTTCACTGACGATGTAAAGCTATTCAACACTACAGACAACACTGCTACCCTTCAAAAAGACCTCGACTATGTATCAGAATGGTCAAACAAATGGCAACTTCAAATCTCAACAAATAAATGCTCTGTCTTACATATTGGCAAAAAAATCAGAAAATAAAATACAGGCTGAATAGTCAAGACCTTGTTGATGATTCAAACTCTGTCAAGGATCTTGGAGTACTCATTTCTAATGATCTAAGTGCTAGAGCCCACTGTAACTACATAGCCAAAAAGGCATTAAGAGTTGTTAACCTAATCTTAAGTAGCTTTTTCTCTGGTAATATTACACTACTAACTTGAGCATACAAAACATTTGCTAGACCAATACTCGAATACAGCTTGTTGAGGTAATTCCCCATTAGGAGAATGAGCGCATACAGGGAGACGTATTTGAGAGGAGTGTTTGAATAATACACACAGAGCACACAGATACACTGTACAGTAAATGTAGGTTTTTACTTCCAGAAAGGTTTAAGCAAAGTCTAAAATAAGCAGTCCAAAAGTCATTCACAGGTAAATCAGTCAGTTTTTCACTCCAGGGATAATCCAAATATCAAAGTCCAGTGTCAAAAAACAGTTCAGTATCAGACTTACATTAAATCCAGTAATATCAGTCAATTAGAAGAAATGGAGCAACAGCAATACTTTCCAACAGAAGGAAACAGAGATACACTCAGACACACTCTCTTCTGAGAGGAAGACTAAAAAAACCCAGGTTTCTGGCTCCATCTTATGGCTGTTTGAGAAACCACACCCAATTGCATGGTCTTGCATTCCCTTAAAGATATAGTACTAAAATGTTTATCCTGGTTTATATATTTCTAACCCAAATACCTGTAAGGTGACTTATATTCCTAACACAGCTCATCAGTCTGGAACTCACATTACATATCTGATATTAACACCGTTGAGAAAGTCCAGAAATATTTCACAAGAAGAGTTCTTCACTGCTCTACTCGTTGCAGAATACCTTGTGCCACCAGACTTGAAATTCTAGACCTAGAAAACCTAGAACTACGCCGCCTTCGGTCTGATCTAAGTATAGTATATAAAATCATACATTGCAATGTCCTACCTGTCAATGAATACTTCAGCTTCAACCATAACAATACAAGAGCAAACAATAGATACAAACTGAAGGTTAATCGCACCAAACTTGATTGCAGGAAATACGACTTCAGCAACAGAGTGGTCAATATCTGGAATACTCTACCTGATTCTGTGGTTTCTTCCCCAAACCCCAAAATCTTCAACATTAGACTGTCTACTATTGACCTCACCCCTTTCCTAAGAGGTCTGTAGGTTTGTGCATAAGCGCACCAACGTGCCTACCATCCCTGTCCTATTGTTTCTTTTATTTTTCTTATATGTATCCATGTATTCATAACTATGTTTTTACTTATACCTATTATCTTGTAAGCAATTGACAAACCAAATAAATAAATAGAGAGCGGTGCTCATCTGAGGGAATCAGTATTGTCTAAACACATTTCCAAGATCATTGTGGCCAGCATGAAGAAACACTGTTACCTTCCCACTGAAGTGGTACCTATTTATCTACTCGCATTTGCATGCTTTCAAACTGCTAGGTTGGCAGGAGTTGGAGCAAGTAACGGGAACTCGTCTGATTCTTGGGTCTCGAATTCGGGCTGTCAGCTTTCCAGCTGACAAGCTCAGCTTCTTTAACCTCTGAGCCATTGCGCCCCCTATCTCTTTATATTGTGTAATTGAATAAAGTTTATGAATGAGACTTTTGCTTGATCCACCACTCACTTTCTTTGTACAATCATGCATTGTGAGACAGCGTTATAATTTTTTAAGCTGGAATTTATAGTTGTGGTTTTTTATAATGTATTTTATCTCATTGCTGTGTACCACCCAAAGTCGCTTTTTGTGAGATGGGTGGCTATATAAGTTTGATTGATAGATAGATAAAGAAAGAAAGAAATAATACATTTGTGAACCCTCTTTATTTTCTCTACTCTAATATTGTAACTGATAGTTCTTGATAATATTTCTATGCAATTATCTGTCCTCTCCTGTTGCTCCAGCCATTGATTGACATCATTTTAAATAGGACATTTATCTTCTGTGGGTAAACTGAGCCTCATTCTGCAGCTACTGTAATGGCAAATGAATTTTATCAGCACATCAAAAGCCCAAAAATGGGATCCAAGCAAGGGAGGTTAAAATCGTGAACTTCAGCTCATAAAACCACCAAGAGTCAATTGTACTGAATGGCTTATAATCGGCTTATAAAGGTGGCATGCAGAGCCATTTGTGCCAGCACATGAGCTGCAGGCAAACTTACCTCACTGGGCATGCGTGTGCCTCACAGATGATTTTCAACTGGTTTGAGGCCTTTTTCATCCTCCCAAAGGCTTGAGGAAGGTTTTTGTAGGCTTCTACAGGCCGAAAACTAGCCCCATTTTGTCACTTCCTGTTTTTTCCGAAAATACTAGAAGTGACAAAACGGGGCTAGTTTTTGGCCTGCAAAGCCTGCAGAAGCCTTTCCCAAGCCTTTGGGAGGCCGAAAAAGGCCTCAAACTGGCCAAAAATCAGCTGTGAGGTGCAGTGCAGGTAAGGGGGCAGCAGGGGTGGGTGGGTGGGGATTACGCATGCATGAGTAGTGGGATTGCCTTCTGGATGCTGGCACGCAAGTGCGAGCGTGCAAGCGCACGCACAATTTTTGGCATAGGAGCCCAAAAAGTTTAACCACCACTGGCCTATAACTTTAGATTGTCTTTTGCAGAACAACTTTTAATTGTTCATGGATTGGGGAGAGGGAGACTGATCCTGCTTCCTGACATGATCTGATTTCAAAGAAAATTGATCTAGGTTCAAATCAGGAGAGAGCCACCTCTTTCCACCCACAAGTTATTTTGGAGCGGGAAACTAAGTAGGAAGAAAGAGGAGAGGGGAATGTCCAAATGTTACATAAGCTATAATGAAAAGTACATGCTGTGTTAACACCCTGTAATTCCTTTTCAAGTTTCATTATTGTGGTGCAGAGCAATCATTCCCTATAATTATAGCTCCACTGGAGCACAATAGCTTTTATTTGCTCTGTAGATTGTGTGGTGCTGTGTCATGGTAATTGTGATGTCATAAAATGGAGAATGTAAAATTGTTAACACCAAAAACTACTACCAGGGTAATCGTTTAAAGGGTCCATTTTTTTTCCCCTGCTGCTTAAACTACAGCTGAAGACTGGAACCTACTGAGTGACTTCTCCTCTGAATTTTTGGGACAAAAGAAAATGTTTAAATACTTGAAAGGGTAGTAAGAAAGTATAGGATTCTGCTCATTTAAATATACAAGTCTATCATTTATTATGCATGCATCACTGATGCAATATATAGATCTTAAGCACCTATATTTGAATTGCTTTGTCTTATGTGTCTTGATTACAGTAATGTCAAAGTATTGCTGTGCAGAACACAGAAAGTAACAGAAATCTTTAAGCTTTTTAAGATCAAACTCCTTTAGGCCCAAAAAAAAAAAAGAACTAATCCAATGAAATCTTGATTATGGTTAAAAACCATAATAAGGTGAATGAGCTAAAACTATATTTAGAATAGGGGTACCTGATTTTGTAGTAGTAAATCAGAACATAGGCATAAGGTTGTTGAGGTTGTAATTAATGACATGCTAAACACAAACCATCTTGGGTTTGTGTTTAGCATCTTCCCGGAAGTTCGGGAAAGCCAGAAATGGGCCCGTTTCTGGCTTCCAGAGAGTCTCCAGAGCCTGGAGAGGCAGTTTTTGCCCTCCCAGAGGCTTGAGGAACCCAGGGAGGCCAAAAACGCCCCTGCCCTCACCATGGTGCAGGAGGCCAACTATGCCACACCTACTGTGGCCACACCCACTCAGCTACAAGGCAGAGAACGCTTTGCTAAAATTTTTCAAGCCCACCTCTGTCTACTGCCCAATTCTGGGTACAATTCTCTGTGTTCCCTATTTTTAAAATCAGTATAATTGAATGGAAATAGGTCCAGAGGAAGACAACAGAGGTAGGCAGGAATATGGAAAACAAGTCCTACGAGGAACATTTAAGAGACTTGGAACTTTTATAACCTTAAGATAAGAAGCAAGTGCTGTCTTTGTATGCTTCCCTTAAAATCACTGGGTCCTCAGAAGCTCCAAGACTTGGATGCTGCTGCTCAAAAAATCTTTTGGAGCCACTTGGATTCCAACTGAGCAGGTCTGAATGAATTGACTGACTCTTTCTCTAGTCCTGTTTCCTGCAGTTCCTAAGGAAATGGACGGGATCCTTAGTTCTATCAACCATGCCATCAATTTATTAGATCCATGACCTTCCTAGTTGATTAAAATTTCTTGAGAGGTTACCTGTGGTTGGGTTCAGGTGGTGGCAAATGCTTTCTTATATGAAGAAATGGTTTTGCCTGCCATAAAAAAAGATGGTGGTAGGCTTCCTCCTAAATTTGCCATATCTGGATCCAACACTTCTGGACAACTTTTGTCCTATCTCCCTGCCTTTGGGGGGAAGGGGGTTGTTGAGGAAGTGGCTGGGCTGGAGCTTCAGAAAACCCTGAAATAGGATATCTGGACCCTTTCTAGTTGGGTTTCAGGCTGGAAAATACTAC